TATATTTACATTGTAATCTTTGTATCAATTTCTATCTTAAACATGTTGCAATATGATCTCTTCTTAAATTCTATTTCACATTTTTAGACTTCCTTTCATATCCCTCCATTTATAAAAATTTTCCCTTATTGCATAGAATTCTAAAGTATATCGTTCCTTCAGTTCTAGCGTCATACTATCTAACTTAGAGCACTGATTTTTTTTTCTATTAATTGCTTCATCATTCGGTATTTCTTTTAACTTCCATGTTTGGGCTATTAGTAATCTTGCAGCTGTAATAACATGAATGATTAGATATATATCAGCTTTTTTGACATTCTCATTTATTATTCCCAATAAAAACATTTCTGGTGTATTATTTATTTTTAGGTCCAACATTTCTTCTAACCATTGCCCTATTTTGTGCCAAAATTCTTGTATCTTCTTGCACTCCAACCACGTATGATAATAGGTGCCCCATTCTTTCAAGCATTTCCAGCATATAGGTGATTGAGAGCTATACATTTTGGCTAACCTGGTAGGTGGGAGATGCCATCTGTAAAACATCTTAAACAGGTTTTCTTTGTAGGATGTGGCTAATGTAATCTTTTTATTCCGATCCCAAATTTGCTGCCATTGATCCAAATTTATGTTATAGCCAAAATTTCTGGCCCAAGTTAACATTGGTTCTTTCATCTGCTCCTCATACATTTTATAATCTAGTAAATAGTTATACAATTGCTTTATTTGTTTCTTCTCTGATCCTAATAATATTTTATCTAATATTGTATCTTGACAATTTATTCCCCATTCTTTTTTATCCCTTTCATATCTGGATTGTATTTAGAGATATGCCCACCATTCCATCGTTAAGCCCTGCTGGTTAAGTTCCAATCTTTGTTTTAATCTTCCTTCTTCTGTTAGGTTATCTTTATATGTGATTGCCTTTTTCTGGTTGTAAAGATTCAGATATGATATGGCTTCTAAGGGGGAAAGCCAGCTTGGAGTTTCCATATAATTTTGTGATCTTATTTTATTCCAAATTGAGATTAGGGCTTGTCGAATTTTATGTCTCAAAAAATATTGGTGTGTCATATGTCTACTGGGCCACAGATATGCATGCCAGCCCTGTTGTAAATCGTGCCCTTCTAAAAGTAAAAGTCTTTTATTTTCCAAGTTTATCCAATCCTTAATCCATGTTAAGGCGGCCACTTGATAATATAGTTCCCAATCTGGAAAGCCTAATCCCCCTCTTTCTTTAGCGTCTTGTAGATGTTTTAATTTAATTCTTGGTCTTTTACCCTGCCACACAAAATTTAACGTTATTTTATTCAGATCTTTAAAAAAAATTCCCTAATTTAATCGGTATATTTTGGAATAAAAACAAAATTTGGGGTAGTATGTTCATTTTAATTGCCAAAATTCTGCCTATTAATGATAGTTGAAGATTATTCCAATTTTCTAAATCTGTTTTAATTTGTCTCAATAAGTTCTCATAATTATCCTCCATAATTGTTGAACAACATGCCAAAATATTAATTCCTAGGTATTTTATTTTTGTACTATTTGAATATCTAATAGCTTAACCAGGTTTTCTCTTTGTTTGCTGGTTATATAGTTATGATTTTCGTTTTTTCTTTATTTTCAAACCAGCTACTTCTCCATATTCTTCAAGGTTTTCTAATAATATCGGACCTGTTTGTTCAGGGTCTTCCAAGAAAAATTCTAAATCATCGGCATATGCTTGTAATTTAAAATTTTCTCTTTTAATTTCCAATCCTTTAATCTGTGTTTCTTGCCTAATCATTCTCGTTAGGACTTCTAATGTATATATGGGGGCAAAGGGCAGTCTTGTCTTGTACCTTTTTGTATGTAAATGTTACTTGTCAATTCTCCATTTATTATTATTATTGCTTCTTGTTGTGTATATATTGCCATTATTATCTTTAAAAACTTTTCACCAATATCCATGTGTTTTAACTGTTGCATTAGAAAGGGCCAATTTACGTTTTTTGTTACACCTCGTATATACGCTTTAGCGGTGTCCCAGAGAGTCTGAATTGAGATATCATCTTGTTTATTTATTTAAAAAAAGATATCCAATTCTTTTTCCATCATTATATTGAACTCCTTTTCTTTGAGAATTGCCCTTTGGAAAGCCCATCTTGGTGTGACCTCATGTCCTTTCCACTGTAGGCTTAATGGGGTTGTGATCAGCCCAGGTGTTTATAGTCACTTTTCGTATTTCGGAATCTAAATCTTTGGATATCCAAACCATATCAATCCTAGACCAGGCTTTATGGCGATTTGAGTAAAATGTGTAATAATTCTCTTCATTATTCCTTTCTCTCCAAAGGTCTATCAAATTTAGATCTCTGATCATTTCAAAAAATGTTTTGGGGAGTATTCTTTTTTTTCCTTTTCTTGTATCATTATGTTTGTGGTCTCTTTTCCTATCTTCAATCGCATTGAAGTCCCCTACTATACATAGCCCATCGTACTCTATATCGCTGATTATGTTATGAAGATTTTTTTAGAAGGATTCTTGGGCTCCATTTAGTGTCTATATCGAGGCAATTATTATATTTTTGTTATTTAGTTTAATCTCAACTATTAGGATTCTCCCTTCTTTATCTTTGTAAATCTGTTTTGCCTTAATCTTATTTTTCACATAGAGAGCCACACCTCTTTTTTTTCTGATCTAGTGATACAAACAGGTTTCCTAACTTAGGTTGTTCTAGTAGATGTTTTTGATCGTGTCTTGTATGGACTTCTTGCAAAGCAATTATGTCGGTTTTCAATTTTTGTAGTTTAGCAAATATTTTCTGGCGTTTTATTGGTGAGTTGAGTCCGTTAATATTTATTAACCAAATCCCACATTCTTCATCTGTTTTCTTAGTTGTATCTTGTTCTCATACTTCTCGTGATTCTAGATTCCTTAGGCTCTTCATATTTCCTTCCATAGTATTCTATCTTATCTCCATCTCCTCTTCTCTTAGGTCTTTCTGTTTCTTGTGGTCTTACTTTTTCTTCTATTGCTTGTCCTGAGTCTCTACCTTCTATTATATCTTTCTCTTCTCCTCAATCTCCTGAATCTTCTTCAATATCGCAGTGTTGTTTGTAAAAATCTTCAGCCTTTTCCACGGTGTCAAGCTTGTATCTTTTGGGCAGGACATGACCATGATTTTTGATGTTTTTTGCCAGTTTCTGATGTTTACTTCTGGTTTCCAGCAAAAAATACCCTTTGGGTAAAATGGATTCACTTAACGACTGTTCTGTTTGCTTAATGATTGCCACCAAAAATGCTGAAAAAATTGGCCTGGTCACATGATGCTTCAATTTATGACTGCTATGATTTCCAACCATAATTCCAGGTTCAATTATGGTCATAAGTTGAGGACTACCTGTATATTTCTTGTATCCATGGATTAATTACTGAATTTTTGCAAGTTATTATAGGAGAAAGAAAGGTTAAAATAAAACTATTTAATCTTACTTTAAAAATTAGTAATAAAAGTATTCTTGAGAGAATAAAGTATTTTATTATCGCCAGACTGTAAATATGCATTTTCTTTTGCACATTAAAAGGATACAATCAAATTAATTCTTTAAATGTTAATATATTGTCTTAATGTATGTGCCATGCTAATTGAGTGTAGAAACTTAGAAAACTGATGGCAGAAAAAGACAGTGGTCCATCAAGTTTGCTCTTTGAGGTTTTTTTGTTTTTGCTTTTTTATTTTCTTTTTAATTATGGTTTGTCACATAGTCAGCCAGATCAAGTCCTTCCCAAGGACCTGGGATAGGCAGATGTTAATGTTTTGTGGTGCTAGAGCAAGGGTGTCAAACTCAAGGCCAGCCCATGGGGTGCTTAATTGTGGCCTGCAGGGCAGCCATGTAAACAGCGAAGGACCAGCCCACGGTGCCTCTACAAGTGAAAATGGAGTTTGGGAGGGCCATGCGTGACCCTCCCAGGCCCCGTTTTTGGCCTGAACAGCTTCCTACAGACCTCTGCCAGCAAAAATGGAACCGTGTGTGGGTGTGCACGCAGCCCCCCGGGCTCCATTTTCGCTGGCAGAGGGTTTCAGGGGGCCGTCTAGGCCAAAAATGGGGCCCAGTGGACTGCATGCGCCCCCTCCCCCCGGGCTCTGTTTTCGCTATCAGAGGACTAGCAAAACAAGCTAAAAGCAAAGCAAAAGGAGAAATGTTTCCCCTTTTCAATTTGAGTATCCAAGAAGGGACAAGAAAGGAGAAAGGGAAAGAGGAAAGACAAAAAAATGGGAAGAGAGCAAGGAAGGAAAAAGAAGGAAAGGGGAAGGAAGAAGAAAGAAGAATGAAGACGGAAGGAAAAAGGAAAGGAAGAAGGAAGGAAGGAAGGTCCTTCCTTATCATTTGGCCACCAGCAGACAGCAAGGCTCCTCTGGAGGACAAGGGTTTGGCACTCTCCCTGGTCTTTCCTTCCTCCACTGGAGACAGTGGATCCCACAGCCCCACCTGGGCCACCACAGGTGCCCCCCGACACAAGTGATGTTGATCTGGCCACACACAGACCCGGCCACTCCCACCCCCCGAGGTCAAACACAACCCTGATGCGGCCCTCAATGAAATCGAGTTTGACACCCCTGTGTTAGAGGTATCTGCAGGTTTTAAGCTGTTCCAAGTAAAGCTGCATTTCATGATCGATGGTGAATTTGTCTATGCGATGGTGTTCAAGTGGTGCTCCAGTGGTTTTGGGATTGTACCCAAGGCACCTGTGACTTCTGGTACTACCTTTGCTTTCTTTTGCCACAGTCATTCTATTTGTATCTGCAGGTCTTTGTATTAGAAATACAAAATAGACAATAAGTTAATTATTTTAATTTTTTTATTTTAATTTAATTTTTGTCAGATGATGGACATGTGTTTATCCCAAACACTTTTTTACACATATGCCAGTGTTGCTACTGTAGTGAAACTGTTATTAGTTCATAACACTTAATCCTTCTGGCAAATACTAAATTATCTTTTGTTTCATCTAATAGAACTTTCTGCAGAAGCCAAAGCAGCATTACTTGAATTTGAAGAGCGGGAAAGACAGCTAAAACAAGGGCGGTATGGCTCCCGAAGAGGAGGAAGACGAGGAGGGTCATTAATGTGTCATGGGCTGGGAGAACAAAGAAGAGACAGCAATGAAAGGGGAAGAATTGAGGATCACAGGCCTGCTTTACTACCAACGCAGACAGCTGTTATGGTACCCTGAATTGCAGTAGTGATGGATTGGATTGTGGAATTAAAGTAGTAGAAGGCCTGCTTGGGTTTAGCTGCTTAAACGTGAATGCTTGATTCAGAGCCTTATTCTGAAAACTCTTAAACTTGGGAGAACTGGGATTTATCATCTGAAGATCTGTTTTAGGATTTGTGATGGTTCTACTCTTGATACTTCTTGAAGTTCTCCATCATGAAAACAGAAATCTTGTTGATAAATGTAGGTTTAGAATTATGAATTGTAATCCAAGTAGTCCTTGACTTACAACCATTCCTTTAGGGACTGTTCACAGTTACAGTGGCACTGAAAAAAGTGACTTATGACTGCTCCTTAAACTTAACGACTATCGAAGCATCCCCATGGTCATGTGATCAAAATGCCGGTGCTTGGCAACTGGCGTGTATTTATGACAGTTGCAGGGTCCTGGGGTCACATGATCGCCATTTGCGACTTTCCCAGCTGGCTTCCAACAATGAAAGTAAAAGGGGGAATTGTGGTCGTAAATTTAGGACTATCTGTACTCATGTGCGTAACAAACTAATCCTAAATTGTACCCAAGAAACAGTCTTCTGTGCATTCAGTCTTCATGGGTGTTCAACAAGGTTAGGATGTCTCCACTTTCATTTCTCTATTCCCCAAGAAAACCTGGAGACACCCTATGAATTTGTAGGTACTATTGGCAGCCATGAATCTGCTTAATCCCATATAAAACTCCTGTATTCCTTGTGGGGACATTTTTTTAAATTTTCCAAGTAATGGATATATTATTTTCTGTTTTTAATTTCAGACACATTCAGAAAGGATATTTCATCATCAACAACCCATTAGGAATCTTTTCCAGCAGCGGCAGCAGCAGCAACAACCACAGCAGCAGCAACAACAGCCACAAGGTCTACTCCCTGTCCCCACTCAGCATCATATACCACCCCCTCCCTCTCAAGGAATTCATATGCCATCCCAAGTAGAAACCCCAAGAATACTGATGACTCCTCCTTCAGTGGCATCCCAGCAGCCAAAAAACATACACATAAATCCACACTTCAAAGGAACTGTAGTAACACCTGTTCAAGGTAAGGATTTTTTCAAAGAAAGTGAAAGCTTTTTTATCCTTGTATGGGCATTAATATAAAATGCAATGGGAAAAGCCTATTGCTTAGAAATAAAGCACATATTTGGATGTAAATGTACTTGTTTTTTTTTAGAATCTCTTTGAAGGTACCACTGAGAAAGAGATAGAAGCCAAGAAAGCTGTTGTTGATCATCATCAACTATGCTAATCAGTGTAGATCAAATGTCTTTCTTGGTATTAGATGGCTTTGATATTATCTTTATTTTCATAGTACAGCAGATTTTTATACAGAGTTCCTCAGATTCATCCCCTGGAAATAGATGATGGGAAGGACTTCTAGTGGAAGAACTGTTAAAAAAAATCCCCAGTATCTTTGTGGATAGTACTGGGCAAAAGATTAGAGGTTGGGATGTAGAGTGCTGCAGAACTTTTATTGTTTGCTATTGCTCACAGTTTTGTTGGTTTTTATATATTTGTTATATTGTGCTTCATACTGGTTTGTACAGGTAGCCCTTGACTTACAACCATAATTGAGCCCAAAATTTCTGTTGCTAAGCAAGACATTTGTTAAGTGAATTTTACTCCATTTTACGACCTTTCTTGTGAAGTGAATCACTGCAGTTGTTAAGTTAGGAACACTGTTACTAAGTGAATCCGGCTTCCCCATTTACTTTGCTTATCTGAAGGTCGCAAAAGGGGATCACATGATCCTGGGACACAGCAATGGTCATAAGTATGAACCAGTTGCCAAGTATCTGAATTTTGATGACGTGACCACAGGGATGCTGCAATGGTCGTAAGTGTGAAAAACAGTCATAAGTCACTTTTCTCAGTGCTGTTGTAACTTTGAACGGTCACTAAATGAACTGTTGTAAGTTGAGGACTACCTGTGCATGTCCGAGAGCCTCTGGAGTGAGGTGGTTTGTAACTCATTTATAAGCTGCCCAGATTTGCTGTGTCAGTGAGATGGGTGGCATAGAAATGTAATAAATAATAAATAAAATAAAGGAGGTGCAGAACAGACTGATAGGATAGGAAGAGATAGGAAGGGGCTATCTTTGTGCATATGAAATATGTATTTCAGGTATACGAATGAAAGAGAAATTCACATACATTTAAGCCAGGAGTTATTTTTCTGTGCTGTATTGAATAAGACAGCTTGTAATGATTTGTTTTCCTACCATTTTTCTGTAGCTGGTTCTTTAAAAAAATAAGCCACATGATTATTTTTCCTTGGAAAGAGATCACAGTAACATGCTGCAATAAAACTATGTCACAGCTTAGCATAATCAGTGAAGGTTTAAGTGAGGATATGTTCTTGAAACAGAAAAAAACCCAGTACCTATAGTTTCATTTAGTGAGTTCAGGGTTTTGTTCAGTGCATTTTTAAATTATAATCAAATAAAACTTTAGCACAAGTTTACTTTATCATGCCAGAGTCATTTTGATGCAGAAATTTACATAGGGTCAATGTGCTTTTGCAATTTAGATGAGCAGCAATAAAAGCAGTTTGTATATATTTACACTCTTGCTGACCCAAGTGATGGTGTGGCTGCCCTCTCACAGTGCCTGGAGGCTGTGCAGGCCTGGATGGGGAACAACAGACTTCAACTGAACCCTGGCAAGACCAAATGGCTTTGGGTACACGGGGCTCCAGGATCCAGGATTTTGTCATCTTTGATTCTGGATGGGTTGGCAGTGCCCCAGACAGATCCGGTCCGCAACTTGGGGGCTCTCCTGGACTTGCAGCTCTTGCTTGAGGAGCAGGTGGCAGTCACGGCTAGGAGAGCCTTTGTACAACTTCATGTTGTGCACCAGTTGCGGTCTTTCCTGGATCAGAATTCCTTGTGCCCAGTCCTTCAGTCCCTGGTCATCTCATGTTTGGACTATTGTAATGCACTCTACATGGGGCTACCCTTGAAGAGCATCTGGAAGCTGCAACTGATGCAGAGTGTGGTGGTATGGGCAATTTTGAGCCCCTCAAGAATGGTGCCTGTAACATCACTGCTCCTCGAGCTGCATTGGCTGTCAGTCTGCTTCCAGGTGCAATTCAATGTGTTGGTGGTCACCTTTAAAACCCTTCATGGCATGGGTCCAGGCTACTTGAGGGACTGTTTCACCCCGCTTGGATTGGCCCATCCCACTCATGCTGGCAGAGGAGGCATGCTGTGGGTACTGTCAGCCCGATTATTCCAGCTGGCAGGGTCCAGGAGGAAGGCCTTCTCTGCTGTTGTCTCTGGATCATCTTGCCCCTCAATGTGAGGCTGGCCCAAACTCTCCTATCCTTTTGTCCTGGCTCTGCCAGTTGTCTTGGGGTCCCCAACAGGGGAACAGCGCAGTGGAGGTGGTTGATCGAGTAACAACAGATCCCACCTCCCCCATTCTGCCCCTGCTATCCCCACATGTCATTAGATTTTAATGTTTGGTTTTAATTTATTTATGTTTTAATGTTATGTATGTATGTGTGTATGCATGTATGTATGTATGTATGTATGGTATTCAGCTTTGTTCGGGTATTTTCCCACGTCATTATAGTTGTGCTTTTAAAGTTGTAGCAACGTTTC